CACACCTCCAGCACCAGCAGCTGAGCAAGCAGCACAGGCACAGGCACAGGCAGCCAGTCGAACACTTGGCACCACAGCAGCACCACCAGCAGAACACACACCTACAGCACCAGCAGCTGAGCAAGCAGCACAGGCACCAACTGATTGCAGTGGAGCAACTGAAGCAAAGCAGACATCGCCAACACATGCTACAGCAACACCACATACACCTGCCGCTGTATCTGAAGCGATGGATGCATCCATGACAAACACCAACACAGCACCAGCAAAACATGACCATGGTGAACCAACTCAGGTGGTTACAGAACCAATGGAAACAGAAGATGAACGAGATGATACAAATACCAACCGCAAAGAAGGAGACGAACCGGCCGACATGGATGATGATGACAGTGACAATGACAATAGCTCTGATTCCAGCAGCAGCACTGGTACTTCCCACTCTGACCATCATAGCAATGGTCAAGGTGACCATGAATCAGAGCCAAAAGCAAAAGCCAAAGCGCGTGGTAAAGCCAAATCCAAGCCAAAGGCTGCCCCCAAGGCCGCCAAGGCCGCCCCCAAGGCCGCCCCCAAGGCCGCCAAGGCCAAAGCCAAAACCAAGGCATCGCGTTTGGTAGAGTTTGCAAAAGCAAAGCCAGCACCAGCAGCTAAAGGCAAAGCCAAAGCTGCAGCATCTCCAAGCGGCGCCAAGAGGAGCCAATCCGAGACAGCAGCCAAGACAACTCAGCCAGCCAGGAGTGTTAAAAAACCTCGAACAGTACCAGGGAATATGTCCATCACTGAGGCTCTGAGCGGCAAACTTAAGAAGGCATGATGCAGTCAGAAAAACTTTGGCTGTGGATTGATAGGATATCCTTACTTTCATGCCTTGCAGCCGTGCCGTGCAATCAAACGAATTGCGAGACTAGGTGGACCCGTTCTGTGTTTCAGTTCTGGTGTGCTCACATTTGGTTTAGTTATGCGTGTTCTTAACATCCAGAGTGTGTGACTATGCAGCAGGTCTTCACAAATCAATTACAATTCCAAGGATGTTGCAAAGCAACACAAAGGACGCAGAACCAATCCTGGTTGTTGCCTGTGTGTGGGATATGGGCAACAGAAACTGTTTCAAAGACTAGACACCACCTGGTTTGCGAGAGGAAAAACAACAATGCAAGCTGTGTGTGCTGGATCAATTGGTTTTTCGGACCATTCTCGGGTCGTTGCTTTTTTCTTGGATTAATATAACGATGCATATATGTAAGTATCATTGTTTGATGTCTGTTTGCTACCAGCCAGAAAGTAACTCACCAGCTCTTGAGTTCCCTTGTGTGCGCTGGGAAAACGTTAATTGCAAGCTTGAAGCTTTGTTTCAAACATGTTGTCTCCTGCATGTTGTCTACCTTTGTTTTCTTTTCCTCCTACATCGATCGATGCACATATGTAATTTTCATTGGTTTTTGGCGATGTTGCCTTCCAAGCTAAACACACATATCTGGAATATATAAATTCCTTAATTGCAAATTGCCAACCTTAATTGCCACCTGGGAGTATCTTTACGAAATTTGACAAGAAGGTGAATCCAAATTGCTGTTGGAGATTCTAAAGGTAACATCTGGGCTTGCGGGCTTGCACACATTCCCCTCACTGTCCTCAAAGGTAAGTGTTTGGTCCATTGTGAACATCTCTGTTGAGTTCGCTCAATGCTCTTGGTTCAATCACCCTTTCTGCCCACGCGACGCGTGTGACACTTATACCCCGGTTTGACCTCATGAGGTTGGCCCTGCAGCAATTCCAGCCATTCTCTACGCATTGGCTCGGAGACCGTGGCTTGGGCAGACCTGGGGACGCTAGAACATTGTACCACATGGATGACCTATCACACCGAGTGAAACACGGCCTCAGAGGATCATGAACCCAACCACGGAAACTCTTAAAATTGAAATCCCCTAGTCAGGTAGAGCCTATTGCATCCTATGAGAATAAAAAGTATGCCACCAAAAAGGAACGACTGAAAAATCATATTTTCTTGCTCACCAACAGCGATGCTTAGGGGTCTTTAGCCATAGTATAGACTTCGGAGCAGGTTTCGGAGGAAGGTTCCAGACAGGGCTTGGAAAGAGGAAGGTTCCGGAGGAGGTTCCAGACAATGGCCAGAACGCGCTTGGCTTTGATCAGCTGGCAGCGTGGAGTTGCTCAGCAGCTTCACTGCGAAAACAAGTAAAAACACTTCTTCAAAAGCTCTTGGGCTGGAAAACGGTTTTTGCTGCAAAATGTACACCTGCTTTGTTGCGCAGAGTTTTCCACAAATAACCCAGCCAGGAAAGATCTATTAGGCTTTCTGCGCAAAACAAGCTACAACAATCACGCAAATCTTTGCAATTTTTCTGCTCTGTCTTTTGTTGCTGAACAAGCGGAAGAGAAGCACCAACCACTGACAGATTGACTCCACTTAGAGTGGCAGCAGCAGCAGCAGGAGCAGCCGCCGCCGCGGCGGAGCCGATGGGGCGCAGTGAATTCTGGACTCTGCGGCCTTTAGGGTGCTCCGCGACAGTTCAGATTACTTCAAACCCTCAGACTCAGGCTTCGGGGCTGCTAGCAAGCTAGCGACGGCTGCCTGTGGGGACAGTGGGGGCAGTGTCGGGCTGAAGGACAACCGCCTCAAACCACGCTACCACGGTCACACTTGGACTGCCCACGGCCTGGACCTGGGTGTTTCTTAAATGTGCAAGTGGACATCCATCTCAAGTAGCGTCCAACGTGTCCTCACGCTTGTCATCAAACTGGCACGGTCACGCCAGAACTCGGTCAGCCGGTTCAGACATGCTGCTGCAAAGTATAGTGGAGGCCTGTCCAGGCTTTGCGGTTGGGTGGAAAGTCAAGGAACCCAAATTACCAATTGCGAGAGAGAGAGAGAGGGAGATTAGATAGAACAGCGCTCACAAAATGATGATAATAATAAGATGTATAAAAAGAGGGCGGGGGACCATGGGCGTCCCATTCTTTGTGTTTTTTCACCTTATGAGCTCAGCAACTCATCTGGTGGTTGTTGAAAGAAATTACATGTTGTTGGTAACTAAAGCCTTTACTTGGGGTTAAGCCAAATAGCTGTAATCATTGGGCCAGCTCCTTTTGCTATATAGACGTAGATGGTTTCTTGTCGTATTGCATAAATCCTTCAAGCTCTCTCTGATGATGACAGGCCCCCTCAGAGAATTGAACATGTGACTCCGCTGTGCGGTGTTGGTTGGCTTTCTGGCGTTCCCAGCGTTGATATTAGGTATTTTTATGTGTTGCATTGGTATTCTTATGGGTCATCGCTGAGTTTAGTTTCCCAATGTTCATCCACGATAGTGCTGTAATGTATAAATATGCAGTTCTTTTTAGATCATTTGTCTCAAGAATCACCGTATAGAAAATTGAACGTCTTGTTGCAAGTATGTTCCGTTTGATGCAACAACTTTCACCAGGAAAAGGTTTAGGCCGGATACTTTGCAGATGTCAAGTTCATCAGTTGGTAGAAAGTCATACTAAATACTGAACATTCAGTCAAGCCTGATGCCTTCACCAGCAATGGGAAACGAAACCATTTCATCAAAGCATTTGATGACGATGATGATGACGATGCCCACACTGTTGCTGATAAGAATATAGCATTAATGTCGATGTGCCAATGTCAAGATATACCTGTAGACTGTTCCGGCTAACAACTTACAGCAGAGGCTCTCAAGCCGCAGACGGAGGATGCCGCGGTAGCCTCGCCAAGGAGGATGCCGCGGCGACCATGACGACCACAACGGACCGGAAACTACAGCGCAGCCTCTCAGATTCACGGAGGAGGCTGTGGCGTTATGTGAGTTGAGTTGAGTACTATGAGTGGAGTTGTGTGAGTGGTGCGAGTTGATTGAGTTGAGGAGGAGGAGGAGGAGGAAGGAAGAAGGAGGAGGACGGAGCCAGGATGCCGCAGGAAAAACAACCTCCCCACACAAAGATGTGGGGAACAACCGCATCTGGCTCAGGGTTTTGTTCTTTCGCGCCGAGCCTCCCAGAGTCTCAGGAAGTATCGCATGGCCGCTGGTTCCGTGCTGGCAATGCTCGGCATCATGGCAGTGTGGCCGATGCACATGGAGCGGCCCTACCGGACCGCATCCACACCCATGGCATCTCAGACATGCCATTACTTGGGGCTTTTGTGTCTGAGTAGGTGGATGTAAGTTGATGTAAGGGTCTTGTGTTGGATCAACTCTGGAATGTTGGTGGAAGAGGAGTTCTTCCACATGTAAAATGAGCATCCTGATCGAAGCTTGCTGGTTGCATTGTTTGAGCGCTGGTACAGGTCGAGGCCCGACTAATTGATCTATTTTTGCAAGACATCCGGTAATGCACATTCTTTTGCGATGTCTTTTGGAGAAGAGCCCTTTACAGAGATCGACAGTCAAGCTCAGGCGGCTCTTCTTCAAAAGTGGTTGCGCGAGCGGCTCTTGCGATATTTCTCTTTCAAGGCGATCTTTGAGGACTGGTGCGCTGCAGTGGGCCACATATGCTCGGGGCAAGTATCTGCATTTTTGCAACAAAATCCATTATCAGACTTTCTCGGAGAGTGCCAGTCACTAGGCTCACAAGAGGTAGTTTAAGCTAATATATATATATAACTTGTAGTGATGGCACTTTATGGCACCATTTTTGTTGGGGTCAGTTCGCGACCCGTTTTGTCCGTAGTTTTGACTCACTGGACTGGAGTCCAGCGCTCCTCGGGAAAGGAGCCTCTACAGAAGGATCGCAGGTACATGCTGGCGGTGATGCCACATGGTGTGATCCCATTCGCAAGTACATGTTCCTTTGTCTGAACTATAAAAGAGATGATCATCTCCAGAATTGGAAAGTGTCAGAGAGAGAGAGAGGTGTAACTTGTTGAGAGGAGGCCATCCCTTCATTACCTCTTTGGAGTGTGGCCGAGTGCGACCCTTTAGTCAATATATGTCAATATGCGCAATAGAAGCCCCTGTTTCCAGCCTAACACAGCGCACTACCTGAGGTTTTCGGAGAATTTGTGAATAAAGGGGTGCTCCATTTCCATGTGAATTAGCCTAGATATGCTCAATCCGCGAATGCACATGGAAGGAGGCTCTCTTGTCAACCAGCAGGGGTTACTGGTTTCTTGACCACCAAAGTTTCATCGGAGCAAACTTTTAACTTGTGGCCCAATGACATGAGATGGACCCCAACCAACCCTTTTTGTAGCTCATGGATTCCGGGGACAAGGGAGGCGTTGGCTAGGCATTCCCAATAAGCAACTTTCTTCAGATTGTCAAATCGTCTGCCAATCACCAGTGTGGACAAGATTTCAGCGTCTCAGGCTTGTCCATTGCCCTTGAGAAGGAAGGCTTTGTGCCTAACAGTGTCTTGGACTGAACCCGCTGCAGCAGAAGCAAAGTGTGCTAATTACTTAAAGCAGCACATTCTTTTAAACATCCTCTGGTTCACAAATATGTCTTGCCAAAACTAAGACAACACACACTTGTCGAAGTCCATGTCTGGGACTTGCCGAAGTGACTTGAACTTGTCGAATCCGAGGCATTGGCGCAGACATCCTGTTCCAGATTCCGTCGCTTGGACGGGCAGGCCGCAAAGACGAGGAACTTCTGTTGAAGTAAAAACACACACACACACACATATATATATACTTTCATGTTCAGGAGGTGGAGGGCGCGCAGAGGTAGGAGTTAGTAGGCTTAAGCTAAGTAGTAGCTAAGAAGTGACATCGATCCACAAGGAAGCTTCTTTTGCCCTCAAGCTTGAACCCTTGCTGTATGAAACCTTTCAGAGTTTTTTTCCCCAGCATTTGTGGGTGAAGAACCAAAGTCTGTCAATGGCAGGTGTGTCTGCGACAGTTGATCGGCCAGAAAAAGCGAGGGCTTGGGGATGTCTGATGGTGCATCGGGCGCCTGCCAAGGCTTTTGAGGCAGCTATGCCGATTTGGAGGGCTTGTTCCAGCCACACCGCAGTTTCTTGCCTTCACTTGAGAAGTTTGTGCTTGGTTTGATGCACCCAGGGCTCAGTTGATTTTGTTCATCAGTAGTTGTACTGTGGAGAATGCGTGCCCTTTCGTGGTTCTCTGCACTGAACTTAGGAGCTGCGAAGTCAGGGCAAACTAAGTTGTTTTCGAGCTCAACCACTCACTGCTGATCATGAGGCTTCAACCTCTTTCTTGTTCCGCCCTTTCAATTTTGGAAAGCGTGGCAGTTACAGTAATCCATCCAATCCAATCCCTACTGGTTGAGCAGCCGAGCAAGGCAATTTTCAGCCAACTTCGAGAACCGCCCCCCACTACCCATGTTTAGTTGACCTCGTGCTCGCCCCAAGCCTCTGAGGTCGATTAAACGGGCCTTGACTTGGCCTTATCCCAACAACGTGACCTTCATTGTTCCAGGTGCGTCTTGACGATGATGTGTCGCTTCATGCCCCGCCGTGCTTTCGTGTTTGTGCTTTTCCGTCTGAAGTTGCACAAGGCTAGATGAGGTTGGCAGCAGTGCACTTTTGTTCAGACGGACATGATTAGCATGGACGATGGTAACTGTTCAATTGCTTCGTAGCGGCAAAGATTGGCCATCGAGAGTCCAGATTATTCTGGGACAACACTTTGAAATCCTGCTGTCGTGGAGCTTCACAGAGATACGTTTCGATCTTTCAAGGATGCCATGTTATTGAGCCTTACACCCAATTCCACACTGCAGGATGTGATTCGGCAAATTACTTGGTTCATGTGAATGCATTCTTGAACACCTTTATCAACCACGCGGCCGTCTTCAGTACAGTAGTTGCTGGGGAGTCTCTGGCTGTTTTGACACTGCCACAGGAGGGATTGCGGAGATCTTCTTGATGCGTCCTGACTTGGAGCAGGTCTTCATCAAGAGCCGTAAGGGCTTCGTTCGTCTGGCCCTTCAGGCGCTATAGACGGGGTCAGACGAGGCAATTGATGCAGAGGTTCATGTCTTGAATGTTTAACCACATCTGATGAGGGACTAATGGTGGTGATGCGAGGCTTCTTGAATATGAAGGATGCACAGGAGGAAAATGAGCAAACACTGAAACACCTGTTCGATCACGGCACATCCTGTGACGTCCAGTCTGGCGTGGACATTGTGCCGGTCTATGGCCTGGGGCATACGCAACTCTTCACCATGTTGGATAAGTCCTCGGCCTTGGGTGGCTTCTTGATGCGCATGAGCCGCCGATTCAAGGTGTGGTTCGGGGCTGATTTCAATGTGGGCTTGGCTCCAACATGTTCACTGCCAGAAAAGCACTGGTAGTTCTTGACGGAGTTTTTCTCTTTACACTTTGCGACTATAGTCTTGATACCAATCGTCACTCGCTAAGAGTTCTGACCAGGCCAGAGTGTCACCCCAATTCTTGCTTTTGGACACCTTACAGCAAGCTTTCGAGTTGCACACTTCTTCGTGACATTTGTATCCCAAAACTAGAAGTTAAGGATAGGACCTTCCGTCCCTTGAGGCAGTGCCATAGTTCTCCGCAGAGATGCTTCTGCATGCCGGTGCGTGCTTAGAAAATCAGCACAGAACTTGCCCGCAGGTTTCCTTGCCTTTAAGTTACGGCCGGCTTGGAATGCCGTTGGTCCCCTATTCCAAGCCAATCGCTGCCCTTGTTCCTTGGGCTTAATTTGGGCACTCTTGAGTGTTGCATTGTTGGCAAAATTTTCGAGCTGAAACCTTTGACGATTCTTTCTTTTGAGTCCATGCTGGAGTGTACAGATCCAAAGAGGTATCGACAGGAGCTTATTATCAACTTAGGTCATTGGCTGTAAGCGGTGAGCCAACAAGTAAGTTACACAGTTGACAGTTTCCCCAAATGTCTAGGAACAAAATCAATCGTGCAAGCCTGAGCAGAAAATGCTTGCAACCCCATTAGCAGCCACTTAATAGCAACTAGCTTCTTACTCCTCTGACTGACTGATTGACTGACTCACTCGCTTACTCACATATTTACCTACCACTTACTTATTTACTTGCCTACTTACTTATTTACTTCTTACTTACTTGGTTACTTACCTACCTACCTACTTACTTACCTACCTACCTATCTATTTATCTATCTATCTATCTACCTACTTACTCACTCACTTACGTACTTACTTGCGTACTTACTTACTTACTTGCTTACTTACTTACTTACTTACTGGCTTACTTCCTTACTGACCTTACCTTACCTTACTCTACTTTACTTTACTTTTGACGGACGGAGAACCAGTCACTACATGCCTGTGAAATCACATTGACATGTCGAGTTGTGTCCAACCGGGCCCACTTACTTACTTACTTACTTACTTACTTACTTACTTAACGTACGTACACTTACGTATACTTACTTATACTTACCTACTTACCTTACCTACTTACCTACTTACTTACTTGCTTACTTTCTTGGCTTGCTTGTTGGTTTACCTCACTGCGCCGGGCCCTTACCCCAAAAGAAAAAGCCCTTCAAATGTCTGGAGAAATTGCAGAGGGCGTCATTCTAAAGCATGACCAAGCCTGCTTTCTGTTTAGACATTTTGAGTGGTCGAACGTCCTTGGTCACCGGCTTCGCCGCTTCTCAGGTGGGCAAACCCATACGCATCGAAAAAGCCTACTCCAACCCACCTGAAGAGTTGGCCCCTTGGAGGAAGAGCCACGCCGACAAAGCGGACCAAACGTTCCCAGCTTGGATATGTAGTCTCCACATCAGCTGCCGGGGCATCCTCTCACCCAGAGAGACAGGTTTTGAGGGAGCCCAAACGTTTGCATTTTAGGGTCGGACTACGCATCGATTATTGAATTTTCTTGTCAGAAAACAGGACTAGGTTCATGAGGACTTCCCTCACGGAGCCTAATCGAGTATACAGTATACATGTGGACATTTCGATCGAAGGTTCTTTAGTCTCTCACCAAGCGAGTGCTTACACGGAGAGACTTGTTACTGTAGTAATTAACTCATTTTGTTTACTGTAGTACATGTGCCCTTGATTCACAGTTGATCAGTTGATCCTTCTCGGCCGGGGATCCAACAAAAAGCAACATAAAGTTGTCAATGAAGACCCAAAGAGCTTAGCTCAGCTTCTGGTTTTCACCTCGCTCAGGTGAATGACATTCATGCGCAGTTCATCGCAGAACTGCAACGAATATTTGAGAAGCACAAAGGTCCGATCCAAGGGAGAAACAAAATAGTGTTTGTTTTGGAATCACGTTGTGCCATGGCCCGGTTTTGCCATTGGCTGAGCTCATGGACAGGCATCGTACCGGGGTATGAGCATAAGCAGCTCTACTTGGAGGATGAAGCGGTGCCACCGCTTCAGAGTCTTGGCTTGGTTAGGCAGGTGAGCTGGCTGCGGTGCGTTGAAGCCTTCTTTGCGTGCCCCATTGTTTCGTTGAGGAAGGACGCCATGGCTACCGACGTACTGTTCCCGAGCAGCATGCCGGATCCGAAGGGCCAGGTGCCGAGAAGCCGGCTTTAGCCTGGAAGGCGGGTTGTCGCAAGAGTTGCCTCAGACTCAAACATATTGGCAGTACATTTTTATAGATAATATATTATTTTTTGTATATCTCTCATCAAAAAGGATTACGTCAAATTCACTGTGGTCAACCTTTGGCAGTTCATCTCCCTTATGAAGTGTGAGTCAGAAAACATATTGTCAGTAGTGGTCCGTCTTCTATTTCCTGACTCAACCTGTTGTGAGGTACTTTAAACAGCATTACGGTTCATCGAGATCCGGCAAAATTTGCCCTGATCATGCGTGGATTTTGTGGAGTGTGCTCATTACACATGGTACGGGTGTCCCATTAGTCCACTACATGTATGTCGTTGGGTTGTTGTAGTTGAATTTGTATGTGATGTTTCCACTATGTGATTTCATTTACCGTTTTTTGTCAAGTGCCCTTCAGTTGCCCATTTATGAACGGTGGTTGTCGTTTTCGACTTATTGTGCCCTCGGTTCAAAACATTTGGAAACAACGCGCAGTTTAACCTCACTCACAAGGCCACGCCAAAGAACGCACTTAAGTTTCACTGGCCTTGAGTCTCACATAGTCTCACAAAGTTCGTCGCATATGGCCATCAGTCGAAGAAAGTGGACTCCGCTGGTTTCCTAAGTTTGGCAATTCGGTTGCATCAGACAAAGCGTTTGGTCAATATATCGTATTGCTGTCTCTCCACCCTTGAAAATCGATTTTCGCACAAATTTTCCCATGCAAACAAGGGGTTGTCCACTTCCAAGTCTTTGTTGAAGGGAGAGTCAAGATCCATCAGAGACAGTTTTGGGGCCTCTCCAAGTCATTCTGCCTATTGGAGCTTCTAAGATGGAGATTTAGAGGATCCTATTTAGGGCCAATTCTTGAGACCGCGTCCAGGTTGTTGGATGTTGTTTGGGTGACGCTGCAGCTCGAAGTGCGTGTTCTTCGCTTTGTTCCGTGAGAAGAAACCTGGACGGGTCCTTGGTTGTGGGTGAGACGTTCTGTTTGCACGATCGAAACCTTGGTTCTTGTTTCCCGGTCGGGGCACCCGGGCTAAAGTGTCCATCCACCTGCTACTTGATGGGAACACACAGGGACACAGGGACAAATGCCTTTGGATGTGTGATTGTCCGTCGCCACATGAACCACATGTGTTTTTGCGGGCTTCAAGGACCTTCGTTTCGTTTCGGCGTTGGGTTGGGTTTGGAGGCTCTACCCGTGTTTTGGTCCGCCTAAGCTTTGGATCCTTTGGTCCGGTCCTTTTTTGGAAGATCTGCTCGGACAAGCTGGAGCTTTCTAATAACTTTTGGACATTTTGTGACCCCTCCCAGGCAGGTGGAGATGGCGGCGCAATATGCCAACAATGAGATGCATATGTTTTTTTGGGCGATATGTGCTTCGAAGGTGATGCACATCTTGAAACACGCAGAAAGAGGATCTATTGCCTGACATTTGTCAATCTTGGAAGTTCGAGATTTGCTACACTCCAAAACTAGTCCAGGTGGATCCCCGACTTCATAAAAAGCATCCGACCCTCACATGATTGAAGGTCTGTTATTAGCCTATTTTCCCTTACCAGCTGGCCAGCTAGCGGGGATCTGGACAACGAACCTAGAATGCATGTTCAAATATCGTCGTCGTTCATCTATGTTTTCCTGGTTTTGGGGTAACAACAGAGGGTCTACCAGTGCTGCTGAGAAGCAGTCCGTTTCCCAAAGATATCCACAGGTGGCATCGCGCTGACTCTTCTGTCGGCTTGTTGGCCCGCCTTCGTGACCAAAGAAGGTGCGGGAGGAGTGGGCGGGTCACCACATTTCATGTAAACCTCAACCTCGAAGGGGAATCTTGGGACCAGCAATGCAGCAACATGCTTTGATGTTCATGTATCATGCCAAGAGATGTTGTTTTGTAATCTGGGTTTCTTTTGCCAGCCGCCATGAATATAGTATAGGTATAGGCCCTTCAGGCCCAGCTTTCTTAATACTGACGGATCTTGCGTGGTTAGTATCAACTGAGTTCTGACAGGGTACTTCATAGGTCTTGAGCTACTTTGAAGTGGCTGGGTTGCATGGGATCCATACCCTGATTGGGCATTCAGCATTTCACAACAAATGTAGACTGGTTCCAGGAGTCATCAAACCTCGGAAGAGTTTAAGCAAGGCAAGGATTTGAAAGAGCAGCAATAGCTGAACAAAAGAAGAGTAGGTAGATAAACAAACCAAAAGACATATAATCCTGGGCAAAAAATGCCTTTTATTTTTACCTCACCCTGCAGTATTTAGGGTGTGAGTGTGGGAACATTTTTTGTTCAATTTCTTCCCACTTGACTAACATGGATTCGACATTACTAAGTGTACAAGATAGGTCTGTGCAATTTCTGCATTCTCAGAATCTCTGTTACTCCGGGAGCGCCCGTCTCGTAAGGCTTCCGCAGGGTGGGCCCTGTCGGCTTTGCTACCATGCCTGTCATAAATCTTGGCTCAGCTTAGGAGGGCATAGGGCAATCTCGAAGAAGAGGTATGAGAATGCCAGCGAAAGCCTGGAATCCAAACTAGGAGGAAATTTACCGCTGGTGAGGTGGCATGAAGTATTTTCTTCCCAATACCTTAGAGACTTGAGTCTCAGATGATCAATCTTCCTCATGCGCGCAACCTATACAGACATTTACCCAAACTTGCTGTGCTTTTCCCAGATGACTGGCCACCAGAAGAGTGAGCCATCGCTTCAGCCGACTGGGATGAATGTCCGATGTGAGACCATCTCCCTGGCCACTGCGGTGGTGTCGGCCACGCTGGTGCTTGGGGTTCTAACTTCGCCGGATCCCGACTATCAAAGCGGACTCTGGTGGCCAAGAAATGCTAAGTTCTTTAGATAGAAAACTTTCCTTTTTAGTGCGTATATACGTGGGGAGAACATCTCTCCCATCTACCCTGTACTTTTGGACCTCGATTTCACAAGAACAAGATACGGTCCAAAGGTACTGTGAAGAGGACCTCCAAGAGATTTTCGGGAGCTTCATTCTGGTGGTCTTTTTTGCGCTCTTGGTGGGCTTGGCGGCTGTGCCCTTCTGTGTGAAGGTGGGCTCTGGAGGTTCAGCACACATGTGTTCAACTGCAGGGTTTCTCATCTTCAATTGGATACAGGGATTGAAGCTTGGACAAATTTTTTCAGGTTCGAGATTTGAACTCAGCTCAGGTTCGAATATGTTTCGGCGCAGTACACGTCGCCCAGGTGAGAGGGTATTGTCATCTCCTATGCAGCTAAGTGTTGACATCCATCCCCACCCGGAACTGTGGGTACGTGGGGTGTGTGGAAGGCAGATTCCAGGTTGCGGTCAGCATGACCTTCAAGCGGTGTCTACAGGGAGCAATAGCAGTTTCTAGTCATTTCTGAGAAACAGGGAGCAGTCACTGGCATTACTGCAGAGCATCATTTTGACTGACTTGTGTAGCACAGTATTCATTGATCTAGGTTCTTGACCTGCCCAGCTCATCGGCGTTGAGGATCGTAGCAGTCTTACTGTCCATGAAGCAGAGCAAGTTGTGGGAGAAAAGGCTGGGAGATGGATTTGGACCCGCAGATGCTCGGCAGTGCTAAGGATGCTTTTCCTAGGAGAGACACAAGAACATGGCAGGAAGTGGATATGCGTAAATTCCTGAAGGTCTTGATCATGATGGCGACACAGCGACACAGATGAAGGTTTGAAGCAGAGGAGGAAAAGGTGGTATGCTCATACAATATATATATATATATACACATGGATGTGTAGTAAAATAGGGAGACCTCTCAAGGACCCTTTGGAAGAAGGACAATCGACCAACACCCGTTGATTGGGGTGGCACAACTTGCGGACGCCCGCCTGAACGATCATCGCCTCCCAAAACCAGCCCTTTGCCGGGGGTCTGCCATTGATTGGGGGTCTGCCAATTTTCAAACACAGCCATATAGATAGATAGATAGATAGATAGATAGATAGATAGACAGATAGATAGATAGATAGACAGATAGATAGATAGATACTATGTGTACTACATACTGCTGTGTATGAGGAGATGGCTATTCAGCAGGGCAGGGTCATGGAGGTTTCAACAGTGAAGCACCCAGAAGAAGAGCGGGGCTGGAAAACGCTGAGGTATGCGAGAGTCTTTTTTACGACTCGTTGGCATCACATTGCCGCTGACCGACATATTGCCAATGCGCTGTGTGTATATGTGGGTGAAATCCTTCCACCCACAAAGGTAGCCTCCTCGCCCCAACAACAAATCTACCTAGGGGAACCTACAACCAAACCTAAATCAACGGTGGTCCACCACCCTCCCAGTGCACACCCTTTTCCTGGTGCATCTTGCCGTCCTCGGTCCTGTGGCCTTGAGCCAAACACGTGTCCGTGTTTGGAGGTTCTCATTCGAAGGTGGTCGATCGGTCCGAGCACATCATCCGATTCACACTGGTTTTAAACTCTTTTTCGAATGAGATTCACCGAAAGCCTCCACCCATCTAGCACTGAACTTCTTGTTCGGGTTCTCCTTCAACAAACTGCTGTCGTCATATATACGGAACTTGCCAAGACCGAGCACCTTTCGCAGAAATGAGGAATCCATAGGTTTCGTCAAACAATCTGCGAGCATGATGGCGGTTGATATCCACCTGCACTCTGTGCTTTCTGCTGATTGCTGCTTAATAAGCATGACTTCAATGGTTGTCCTCCATTCTTGACAGTTTGGTGTTGCCATCTTATTCACAAGGTCATATAGGCTTTTACAATCCGTGATTAAAAGTGCTTTCGGTTCGGCTTGTAGCGAAGTTTCAGGCATTTGCCATTTGAACATGCCATCCTTTATGATAGCCCACATGCACCTAATCCATGTTAGCTTATCTAGCGAAGATGACATTGCATAAGCCTCTGCACTTAGTGTTGACCGAACAACTCTGCTTATCTGTTTTGAGTGCCATGCAATAGGTGTTATTTCGGATATCTTATTTTCACCAAGCTCTTTGGTGCATGCTGCTATGAACACTCCTTGCTGGGCTTTCAGCTGGCTCTCCGATGCAAAACTCGCGTCTCCGAAGCTTGCAAAAGTCACATCCTTCATAGGAATTGGTTGGACTAGGATAGAAGTTTCCGATGTTTCTTTGGCTTCTTTGAGTATTTTGTTTGCTTCTATCAAGTCTCTTACTTCTGCGCTGCAAACTTTCTTTTGCATGAATGAGACCTTAGCCATAATGTCGGGACGTGAATGCACAGCTGCGTACTGAAGACTGCCACATAGTGCCCTTAGCTGCTGCAGTTCATGGCTGGTGATTTTCGATTCCAATTCTTTTCTGCGGATCTTTGGGATGTCAATTGGATCGATTTGGTGTATATACTCACCCTGGTTGATAAGGATCGAATTATCTTCCCTTCGCTCAATTTTCAATCCTGTAAACTTGAACTTTCGAAATTCTCTGTTTCCAAAAGGAAGCTTTCTTTGTACTCGTTCAAGAGCTTGATTGAACCTTTGGTTACCTCCCCCAATCCCGTCATCGACATGGTTTCCTAGGATGCCATCGAGTGCTGCGGGATTATTCCTATTTCTCAGGAGGAACAGGCAATTGTCCAAAGGATGGGCTTCGAATCCTTCCGCTTCGAGACACTTTCGAAACTCCTTATAGAACAACAACGGGGCATCAACTCTACCATATGCGTTTCCTTTCAAAAGCAAAACATGTTCTTTTGACAAGTTGAGCAACTGCTGGAATTCGGGTACTGGATAGATGGCTAACTGTCGTTCGTCCGCTCTTCCCCGCAAAAATGCGGTTTTGATGTCGAACGATTGCACTTCCCATCCAAGGGAACTCACTGCCTGGAATATCATCATACGGCCATCCCTGGATAGAGTCGGACTTTCGGTTGACACTACTCCCACTTCTGGGTCTTGAAATCCTCGAATCACCAACCTTGCCTTTGGTTTCCTACCTGATGGAGAGGTATGATCTTCCTTCCAGGTCAGGACCCACTTTGAAGTCATTATCCGACTTGGGTGGATCTTGTCTCTTAGAAGGGGTTCCACGGTGTTTGTTTCAATCCAGCACTTTAACTCCTTTTTCTTTGCTTGGTCAAACTCCTGTTGTTCTTGTTTGGTCAGTTGTCTATAATGCACTTCTGTATGTGTCTTCTTTGCGGCTCTATTCAAGGCTTCGGCATGATAGCACGGGTTCTTACAAAACTTTTCCAATGTTTTCACTGGAACGACGAATTCAAAGCTGCAAAACTGCGCTTCTGCTTCTTCAAGTGATTCATTACTCCATAGAGTACCCCTATCACTTACCCCTTCTTGGCTTACCCCTTCAACTACACATGCATTTACCACCAATGAATCCCCATTTGATTCTGATGGATTTGGTTCATTATCTGGCCCAACAGGATCATGCGTCTCACTCCCTGGTTCTCTACCTAGTTCTTCCTCGGCGTTTGGGTCAATGACTGGCACTTGACTTGCATCGAGACCCAGACCTGGTGGAAGACTGATATGCGATCCAGTGCCGGACAGCCGGCGGTGAGGCTCTTCCTCTGGCTGTAGGGATCTTTCGGTAGGTGCGATCGATGGGGAACCTATGGATGGCTGGGCTTCTCGGTTCATATCTTCTTGTCCCTCTACTTGATCGGAAAACTGGAACATTCCACTCTTTTCCTTCAACTGCATTTGAAGCTGTTCTGCCATCGCTTGTAGTTTCCGCTGATCGCCGATGTGGCTGAAGCCATGGTGCTTCTGGAACTCTCGCAATGACACGGACCGCATGTTCTCTCTTGCGACACGCAACAGACGGTTCATGTGTGTGACCCAAACAACGGTTCTTGATTCATTCATGATTACCTGACATGGTCCTACCCAACGTCCTTTTTCTAACATGTTGGGTGCCTTTCTTTTGTCCCAAATCATGCACAATTCACCGCAATGCCAATCGTGTTCTCTTCCTCTGGATTGCCTTAAAACTGCTCTACGAATGGCTTGGCTATTGTCTGCTTCGATCATGGCTTTTCTGGCTTCGGTACGAACTTGCATTCGGTGCCTAAACAGGTCTGATAGGGTGTCTTCTCCTTCATCGAGGGAATGTGCTATAGTCGTTTCATCACTGCATACAGACCCGGGGATTCGGCTTGATCTTCCTAGGACTGCTTGCTCAGGGCTGATGGTTGTTCGGTAGGAACGATTCTCTCGAGGGTGTCGATTCGTGGGTGGTCTGGGCCATTCTGGTTTCAAGCTGGGTGGGGTGACGCGCCATGCGGTGCAGCTCCTGTTCGAGGCCTCACTTTGTGGACGCCTCAGGTTGCTGCAGAGGGTGCCTTACGGTGCGGAAGTTAGCCCAGGAACTTCGCTTTCAACCACATTCTCGTTTAGAGGCTAGGCTGGCAATCGCGTGGTTGGAGTGCGCGTTGAGGGGTCTCGAGATCCTCCGTGACGAGGCCCACTTTCAGGAGGAGCAATCCACCCCTCAAGAACGTGCCCCTGGGCTTTCATCCATCTCTGCAGGCCTGAGGCGAGCAGGACGTTGTGAGGCCGAGGACACTACGAGGAGCAGAGGGACTGAGAGGTCCGATCGAGGTGAGCGAGAAGGTGATCGAGAAGAGGAGGAGCAGCACCGGCGGCGTAAGGAGAAGCGTCGAGATCGAGAAGGAGATGCCCCTGATGGCCGACGCAGAAGACGTGGATAGTGAGCCTGACGAGACTCTGGGATGGTTCAGCCTGGAGGACAGGGCCAGATGGCCATTGATGAGCGCTACAACTGGGCGCCTCCTGATCACCCCCATCCAGGTAGAGGAGAAGACAGAGATGATTCCCTTCTTCATCACTGGCCACAAGGTCCTAGGAGACGGGAGCCTCAGTTTGAGGGTCACTTCATTGGGGACGAAAGACCCCAAGGTTTCAAGAAAGGTGACAAATATGAACAAGTTGATGCCAGAGCTTCATGTGTGCCTGGACAGCCCTTGCGGGGTGGCAGGAAATTTCCTCTGCCACGCTACTTCTTTGGAGCTGATGCTCGCAACGGAGTTCAAGGCCTCAGCACACCTTGGAAGCACCGGGCGAAAGCGATGGGTCCAACTATGTCAAGAAGTATGCGGCGTCGACATGAGCCAGGTATTAGAGGACGAGGTCAGAGAGAGAGAGGAGGAGCCAGGATCTCGACGTGGTGCTCTACGAGGCGTTGGAGGTCATCGCAGTTCGAGCCAAGGACGAGAGAGGAGAGAGCGACGTGTGTCTTTCGCAGAGGATGCAGAGGATGTGAGGCCAGAGGAAGAGGAGGAGATCAGAGGACAGAAGAGGAGAAGGAGTGGAGACCCAGACAAAGGAGACGGAATCCCTGGCAGTGGAGGACGACCCATAGAGACAGCCCTGGACAATTTGAGGAGCAAGTTGAGGGAGAGCTTAGAAGGAGACCGTGGCGAGTCCGGGGTTGCCAGTGGTTCGAAAGGGTCAAAGAAGGCCGAGCCCGCCGCTGTTGCTCAGGGAGAGAAGAAGAGGCTCGATGGGCCGAAGAACTTGCCCGTGGCTCTAGGTGGGGCCCCCAAGGAGGTTGCAGCTCTGTTGAAGGAGGGATCG